AATATATAAGTCATAGATTTTACTTAACTCGACTGAATTGAAGATACAAACAGTTATTATTATAATTTATTAAAAATAATGTGATATTGTTTTTCTTTTTTCTTTATTTTACTTACGTGCAACGTTTTACAAGTGAAAGGTTTTAATTATGTGTGACATGATTATTTTGTTGATCTTTAATGATCTTTCACTTTATTGATCACGAGAATACTTCACACGTTTCATGCAATGCCTTTTATTATCAATTATTTTCTTTGTATATACATGCAATGCCTTTTATTATCATTTATTTTCTTTGTATATACATAAGACAATGAAAATAAGCAATAAAACAATGAGACGTTTCGTGATATTCATTGATTTTATTTACTGCAATGTAGTATATAACAATATATATCTGATAATATTTTTCAATAATAGAAAGCGTAATCTCTTTACAAATAATCAATTGTATACTTATAATAATTACAATAATTATATTTATGCAAAATTTAATAACAAGATGAAAAGTCATATAAAAGTATTTGATAGCTATAAACTAGTCGATTGATAGATTAATAAATTATATAGTTCGAGTCGAAAAGATTACTAAAACTAATGTTTGTGTGTGTCATAAAAATATAGAAATCATGATTAAAATTCGCATATGACAAAGATAAAAATGGTCCCTAATCAATTCAACCCTTTCTTTTTACTGTTCGAGCGTTAAGAATGGCAGTTCCATATTCCAGTATAGTATATAGTTCAACTTAGCACAAATTAACAATTGAACATCATATTAAAATAGCAAAGATAACAAACAAGATTTAATTTTAAAAAATTCTTAGCATAAAATCTATGCAAATACGTGTCAATGCATACACTTTAATTATGGAAAAAGATTTTTGAATCTATAATACATAAAAAATGAAAAATAAGACTGGTAAAATAATACTTTTACCAAAAATGTTATGTTCTATCAGTAAAATCCACGATTTTAGGGTCCTAAACACCGATCGAATGCAGTATTTTTATTAACATATTGATCTTTTTACTTATTTTACAGATTTAGAAATGAAAACAAATCGTTGAAAGTAATATCTGAATAGAATCCTTGAAATGAAAAATGAAAATAACAGAAATTGCTGAATATATTTTAATATAGATCATACTTTTAATAGCAAAATACTATGAATTTTAAGAAAAATTATAAAAATGCTAGAAAAGTAATGAAAAAGCGCAAAATATATGTATAATATATTTACAGGTTTATGTTAATAAAAATTGAATGTTGAAATATGTTGTTTTTAAGGACACGAATATTATGAATTTTAAGGACAATTAGTAAAAGTGTTTGAAAAAAAATAAAACGTAAAAAAAATACATATGTATATACTCGACAAATTAAAGAATTAAAACAAAATTAAAGAATCACCTACCCTTTAAAAATATATGAGACAAAGTTGGAGAAAGTATAATTTTATCAAAAATAATTATAATGAGATGTTTAAAAAGATTTTAAAACTCGAAATCTTATTTTTCAGATCTTGATGTTTATATTAATTATAAAAAATTAATATAAAAAATTAATATAAAAAATTTTTAATTCTTTAATGTGTAATGAAATTGTTGGAATAGTCAATAAAAAGTACTGAGAGAGTGCGGCGAAGATATTTCACCAATCCATTAGGGAAATAAGGGATTAAAAAATAGGATGAAGTAAAAGATCAAATCAATGAAAGATCTTTTTGAGCTGAAAACAAATATATAAGTTTGATTTTACATCGATTTTTCGTTCTAAAGTTATAGTGTTCCAAAAGCTTTTAATTAAAAAAAAAAAATAGAGATAAAACATTGTAATTTTGCGGCGTATAAAGAATCGTTTGAAAGCTTATGATTTCTACTTTCTAATGGATAAGAAATCGCATAAAATAAAAATAATAAATAAAAAGATAAAAACATTTTAAAATAATTAGTTTTGACAATTAAACTAACAGATTTAAATGTTATTGTTAAATGTTTTTGTTTTTGTATACGAGAAATCAATTAATAATACTTTTATTGCCAAAATCAAACCAGAAGTACAAAAAAAATCCATTTGGAACATTTGGATTAACGATTTTTTGTTGATGATTTTGATGGTTTTCAAATGAGTTCTTGTACACCCCAAAAGTCAACATTTTCATATTTTTTTATATTTTAAATTTGGCATCTTTGAAACTCTATCTTTTTCACCTATTAATTTTATATGACATTAAACTTATCAATTCGCAACAAAGATTGCTTTATAAGATAGATTGCTTAAAAGATAGATTTGATAATTTATACAAAATAGAGATATGGTACGCAGATTATATAAAATAATAACGTAGAATTCTTAAAATAAAGTGTCTAAATATCTAATATAAATGATTAATGTGTACACACATATGTATAAATATATGGATTTACGTGTGTATGTGTTCATACATTTATGCACACACACACACACACACACACACACACACACACACACACGTGTGTGCATAAATGTATGTAATGTATATATGAATGTATAATATATAAATAGTGGAAAACGCTTTCCTGTTGGAATTTCAACTTTTCAACTTTAGAATCTCCTTAATAATGATTTAACATTGAATACTACATCTTAACTTTTACGGTTAATCTTAAGTTTCTATCAATGGGACCAAAGGTGACGTCTTATTTTTACGCTTTGCACAAGATTTAAAGTTGTGGAATATTGCTGCGCTAAATATAAGAAAGTCTTTTAAATCTGGTCAATTGAGTTATATGTCGAAACGATTAAACTTGATAGACATAGATTTATTTACAGTGTTATCTAAAACGTTAAATAATTTGTTTTCTTCATTGTATAAATATTGTATTGTTATAACAGATAATTATATTATGGTATGAGGTGTGAACGTGTATATATCCAAATATAGATTAGTTTTTGTTGGCATTAAATACCTATTGATTGTATTTTTTTCTTTCTTTAACATAATTATGTCTTTCAAGAGAATTAATACAAATATATTTGTATTAGCTTTCTTTTTATTAATAAAATATTTATAGATAGAACTTATAGATTATAATTAATACTATATCTTTTCTTAAAAATAATATTTAGAACATATCTTAAAAAAAAAATAGTAATTACATTTGCCTATACAATACATTTAATATAGAAATAAAATATTTCTAGAAAACATTTTTATATTTTCACGTCATTTGCATTTCATTATACTTTCTACATATTTAATACAGAAAGATTTAACAAAAATATCAAAATACTAAAAAAAAAGTTAATTTTCAAATCAATATAATAATATTGTTTTTTTATCATATTTTATTTTCACTCAAGCACTATCCTGGAATAGAAATATTTTTTTAACATTCTCTTTCAATTGACCTCATTTCTTTATTATTCTATTACGCAGTTTTTAGTCAATTCCATGATATATATTATTTAAAAAAATTTTTACAATATTCTGAACAATATTCTCAAACTTACTGAATATATTTCAAAATGAATCATAATTTTTATGAAATTTAATTATTGTAAAATATAAAACAAGTTAATGTATATTGTGAAAATAAAAAATTTTGAAATAAAAATGAAATGACGTTAATTAAAAGAGAAATTTGACACTTCCTCTGGAGCAGATCAATAAAACTTCTTTATAAAACTTCTAATAATATATGTAAACATATTCACTTAATATACAATTCAAATTTTATTGCATATCTTCTGATGCGATGTAATTCCCAATTTTTGACATCTGTAGAAACTTGGCAGCAGCAGTAAAGAACAAAAAATAAAATAGATAGACTTTTCCAGGATCCTACAGACAAAAACTGAAATTTTATTTTGATCATGATATAAAAAATTTTTTATATTACATTATTTATAAAAATATATTAAAATTCAAAATAAAAATAATATCTTAAAATAAATAATAAAAACAATAGCAATAATTTTTCTATATACTAAGTATTCTATATACTAAGTAAAGTACAATATAAAAAATAAAAAATTATGATGTAAAAAAAACTTGCCATAAAGTATATTCTGAATGAAGATATTTCCAATTTCTTGTCCACCCAAAAAGTAAAAATTAGATATGGCTGACATTGCTAAAAGAGGGCTTGCTAATATGCAATGTAATCTCTTAATATTTCTTGAAGATAAATATACATCTTGTATTTTATGATATTGTTTGTTTTTGCCAATTGTTATTCCTATATCTTCAATTACTATTCCAATAAAATTCAGCATTGCCCAAATTAAGATATTTATTTGTATTCCATGCCATATAAGAACAAATGTGAAACATAAAAATGATGCATACAGTTTTCCAAAATATCCATTTGATTTTTGTATAGGAACATAAATATATCTGTGAACATTAGAAGAAAAAGATTATGCTCTATAGATTATGGTTTTTTCAACTTTTATTAATAAAAGTGCCTCTAAAAATGACTCAGAAGTAACTTGATTGGCTGAGAAGTTATATTTAAGGCAATTTTATTGATAAAAGTAAATTCAGAACATAGACTTATATCACGTTATTATATCTTAAATCTATATTAAAATATGTACAATATATGATATTTTTATTAAGTATAATGAAATAAAGTTATATCTATATTTATAGCAAATAAAATACATAAAATCAATTAAACTTACCTTACAAGAAATTTGTATAATCCTCTATCAAAATGTTTCCACATATCAGAATATAAATGAATTCTAGCTATGCATTTAGGTTGTGATGGTGCTTTTACATTATCTAAATAACATAAGCTACTACATGTTCCATAAATGACTACATATTTATTAAAAAAAATTGTCCCATGCAATATCCCAAC